CTCAGGTGTGTCAACACGTGTCATCGCATGTGGCTTCAAAACACATTTTTAAAGACTATCTGAGCGAGTAGCACATGTGATACTTGGATGTGCAAACAGACAAAAAAGCCAGAAAAAAACCAACACGAAGCGCTCCAACAGAACCCCAAACTTTGTGAAACGATGTTTCTGTGCCAACAGGGAGTAAAAATTGCTTTTGAAACATTTGTTTGACTTTCCAAATTCTGCTTTTCAAGCAGCACAGATTTTTTATAAGCAAATTTACTGTCTTGTCCGTAAATAACTAATATTCAATATGAGAGAAAGTGTGGGGGCAGCTCTTTCGAGTTCAGCATTTCACAAACGTTGAACTCAAAGCAAGTAGGGGAAATGTGAAAAGCTGAACTACACGCAATCACCTTGGCAACAGCGCATTCTTTTCTCTTAACATTTTTGAAAGCATTGTTTGTTCTCTAAAAACAAAATAGTAAAAAAAACAAAAAAAAAAAAAAGTTAAAAACAGAATAGTAAAAAAAAAAAATAAATAAATAAAAATAAAAACAGAATAGTTAGGCTAGGCATGGTGCACAGCTGCAATCCTAGAATTTGGGAAGCTGAGGCAGGAGGATCGCTGTGAGTTCGAGGTCAGTCTGGAGCCTATGGAGACACTGTCTAAAAAGAAAAGAAAAAGCCTATCCAGCCCAAATGTCAACAGTGGTGAGGTCGGGACTCCCTTGTACCCTGTCAGCAGCAGGCATCTGCAGAAGATGAGATTTTAGAGCCATGGCACGGTCGCCAGCCTTACAGAGCAGCAGGATTCGCTGGGGTTACTGTCTCCCGAGTACACTGAACTCCCCAGCCTCTGTCCACATTCACGCAGAGGCTCGCAAACGGTCCACTGGAAGGAGAGACAGCTACAGATTTCATCCATTTCCCTACCTTTTCCTTTAAGAAGGGAATGAAAATGTCCTCTCCACTAATTCGAGCCCTGGGGCTTTGCTGGCTTTGCTGACATGAGGGTAAGGGCTGGAATCCCACAGAATTTGCAGACATGAATTACAGAGTTTGAGATCTTTCCTCTTCAAAAGAGAAAATGAAGGGCTGGCCAAATAATGCAACAGATCAAAGCACCTGCAAGCAGGTTCAGGGGCCGAGGGTTTCATCCTCAGGCCTGTCCTGCCGGCCCTGCCCCTGGGGCGCCCTGAGACTGGGCTGGTGTCAGGCCTGTAATCCCAGCTTTTGGGAGGCCGTAAACAGGCAGATCACTAGGAGTCTGTTCTAGTAGTGAGACCCTGAACATCCTGTAGACCCCTCCTAAAATGCAAACCAAACCAAACCAAAAACCAAAAGAAAATGACACTGACCAGCAAGAAGAAGGAAGTTGGAGACTAAGATAAGGGGCTGCCTGGGGGTGTCCCGGTTCCTGGGTCCCCTCTTTCCTGTGCTCTGCTCACGCAGCCAGGAAGCTGCTCCTTTCTGCTTCAGCCACCTTGAGTGAGATCTGTCACTTGTAACCCAAAGTGTTCTTACTAGGGCATCACTAGATTAGCACAGACAGGTTTGAGCCACTCTTTTTGTTTGTTTGCTTGCTTGTTTTTTGAGCTAGGGTCTCTCACTATATACTGCAGGCTGGCTTTGAACTCACTTATGTAGCCCAGGCTGGCCTCAACTCATGGTGATTCTCCTGCTTCAGCCTCCTGAGTGGGGGATTACAAGAGTGCACCACGACGCCCCAGCCGATGTTTTAAAAATTAGTAATAATGTTATGAAAGGTGAAGATGAAACCTGCTTAGTCTTTTGATTACTAAATTTAAAAGATAAATCCTACATTACTCTTTCAACCAATAGTTATATGAAACCTGCAGGTCTCAGGGACACTAGCAGGAGGGGATTGATCTTAAGAGATCAACAAGGATTTAGAGGTGGCCCCTGTCTTAGAAGGGTCTTTGGCTGGATGGAACAGGCTAGGGGCTGGTACGCAGGGTAATAGGATGGACATGGCCGCAGTGCATGATGGGGGAACATGAGGACATCTTTGGTAGGTGGACACAGTGACCAGAAAGAAAACCTAAATGAAGGTGGGGTGGGGGTTTGCAGGTGTTGGTAAAAAAATGGTACTTTATCCATATTAACACTTACACAGGGAAGCATTGTGCTGTAAGTTAGAAACATCACTGTAGGATAGCATAATAACAATTATCTGGCAAAGCTGCAGTCAAGGTTATAGATAACATTTAAAGGGATGATAGCCAACCTGAAAAACACACTCGCAGTCCGTTCTGAATGGTGTTCAAAAGTTATGTGTTACCAGGGATTGAAGCCAGAATCTTCTCACTGAGCTACATCCTCAGCTGTTTTGTTCATTTTATATTTTGAGATGAGGTCTAGCTACCTGGCTAAATTGCCCAGGCAGGGTTCTAACTTGCAATCCTCCTGCCTCAGCCTCTCCGAGTGCTGCGATTACAGGTATGTACTACCATGCCTGGTTTGTGTCAGGGTTATTTAACTCAAGAAACATTCTTGGACTGAAAGTTAATCCTAAAGAATGTTTTTTCAGGGGCTAAAAGATGAAACAGTAAGGAAAAACACTTCATTGCAACAACAACAACAACAACAAAATAACTCTTTTCTCTGGAAGGATTTTTCTGTGTAAAGTAAGTACAGAGGGGACAAGTGGAGAAACAGTTCACCTCAGGCTACCAAATCGTTGCAAGATCTCTCTCTGGCCAAAAGGTCATTCGGTTATGCAGGGTATTTCATTTTCAGACTGATTTCAAGGGACCTCTCACACCATTTATTTAGTTTAGTGATTTAGAAATTTTAAGTAGTTAAAAGAAATGATATGGAAAACACAGTTGTTTAAAAATGACCCCCTCAACTTAAAACAATAAAATTTGTCACTCCCAGTGCTAATTTTGTGTTAAAAGTAGAGGTTATCTTAAATTAAGGGAAAATGAAAAAAACTGAAAAATAGATTTTATAAGCTAAGTGAGGAAGCAGTATCCATTTGTTAATTAAAACATTTTTTTTCCTGTTTGTTCTTACCAGATAACCAATTAAGTCTTATTTTTGGTACCAGGAATCAAACTCAAGGCCTTGCACTTGCCAGGCAGGCATTTATGCCATTGAGCTATGTCTTGGGCAGGGCATATCTTTTTTTCTTTTAAGAAAACTGTAATTGGGGCCAGGGATATAGCTCAGTGGCACAGTGCCTGCCTGGCAAGTGCAAGGTCCTGAGTTCAATTCCTGGTATCCACCAAAAAAAAAAAAAAAAAAAGAAAAAAGAACAGGAAAAGAAAGAAAGAAAGAAAATTGTAATCGTTAGCATTTCTCCAGATAACTGACACCTGTGAATAACTTAGAGTTTTTCCTTACACAAGGGTTAAATCAACATATACATGCTATGCATTTGCATAGGAAACTTTTAAAGAATATATGAGAAGCTGCTATCAACAGTAGTTGCCTTCTGTTGGGACTTCTGGGTAGATCAAGAAAAGCATTTAACTTTTTTATTTATGTCTTTGGGAATGATCTGATTTGAACAACTTTATGTGAGCATGGATCTTTTTACTAATTAAAAGAGCTAGGAATATTAAAATTAATATTTTCAAACACATATGGATTATATTGATAGGTATTAAATAGTTAAAAGGTTTTTTTTTCCCATTTAAGGTCTTCTTACTTTGTAAAATAGCATACTCACACATTTAAAAATATATTCTTTACACAACTCTATTCAAAGATGAGAAAATGAATCATACTGTAATCTATTCTGCCAGGGTACAAGCAACCAAAACCACAGTTCTAGGTACATATACATAAATATCCAGAAAAATCAAACAGAAGAAAGGCATTAGAATGGAGTACAGCCATGTTCTTATACATTCTGTATATAAAATTTATTCAACATTTGAATAATATTTTGGAAAAATATTTGGATAACAAACAAATTATATCTAGCAAGTAAATATTAATACTACTAATATATTTTCATTTTCAAAATGTAACAGGCATTCAGAATAATTTTTCATAAGTAAACTACTTGAGTCAAAAGGTAAATTTAATTCATTTGTAACCTTCAACCTAAGGCTGTTTCCCAAAAGTTTCCAAAAGATTATTATTTTTTTTAAATTAATTACATTATCATTTATACATCCCATGTCCACAGAGGCTGCATTTTATTCTGCAACCTCATCCAAATTATTGAATCTCGCTACGCTTCAGTGTCCTTGTCTTTAAAATGGGAATGATGATAGAACCCAACTCATAATAGTGTTGTGAGGATCGAATGCGTTAATCCTCATAAAAAGCTAATAATAAATAAATAAATAATAATAAACACTCAATACATATTACCTTCTGTTTTGCTTGGATTTTCAGTGTTGTTTTGAGAAGTTTGACTCTCTTTATTGCTCCAAATAAGTGTTAGCTTTTGAAATGTACTGCTTGAAAATATTTAGCAGAACATATTATTTCCTGGATTTATATTAGTTGTTTAACTTTTAAAACCATTAATCTCATCTTTCCAGTCAATTAAAACCAAGCATGAAGCACCCTCATTTCAGTTTCTGTATCTAGGACTAACACCTAGTTCTCTTCCTGCAGCTAAGTACCACCAAGAAGAGCAATCGGAGCAACAAACACATGCTTGACATGGTCGTGTCTCGCCACGCCATAATTGTGAGATGACACGTCAGAAAAAGGTGTCAACAATTAAATGTATTTAATACTGATTTCCTGCAGAATAACAGTACATGGTCTCACATTCTATTGTGTAACTGTAGATTTTAAAATGACCTCAAAGTACAACATAGGAAGAAACTAATTGGATTAGTACGTTAATAATGTCTAGAGAAATAAAATATGCTCTCCTTTAAACATAAAACTTGATCTTAGAACTTTTGAATGAGCTTAGAGTTAGCTGCACAGATTTCAATGCAGCGAACCACTGAAGTTTCTCAGTGTTTCTTTTTAGCTCCTTCTACATTCGGAAGCTATGCTAGGAGCCAGGTGCACCGTACCTTGATCAGGTTGTGTCCCACGGCGTAGACAGTGGCTATATCTTCCCTTTCTCCCGGAGCGTGTATACCTGTTCCGTACCCGTGCCAGGCAACCAGATATGGGTTGTGAATTGTAATCCAATATTTAACGCGGTCCCCAAATGTCCGAAAGCAGTATGTGGCATAGTCATTGAAGATATCTACCATGGATTCATTTTTCCATCCCCCATACTTTTCTTGCAGCGCCAAAGGCAAGTCCCAGTGGTACAAAGTAACTACGGGCTGGATGCGTCTGAGCACTAGAGCGTCCAGGAGGGCATTGTAGTACTGGAGACCTTTTGCATTGGCAACTGCTGCTATTCCATTAGGGAAAAGCCTTGGCCAGGAAATGGAGAACTGATAGAAAGAAACTCCTAAAAAATCTAGAGCTGACAAGTCTTTTTCCAGGAAAATGTAGCTGTCACTGGAACCAGCAGTGCCGTTGACACCTTTCAGGCGTTCCTGGACGAAGTGATCCCAGATGGAGGGTCCTTTCCCATCCGCCTGCCAACTCCCTTCCACTTGAAAAGCTGCAGTCCCCACACCCCAGAGAAAGTTTTTAGGGAAAGTGTCATAGAGAAACAGCTGACTGGCGTTCACCGGGCTCGCACTGGGATTCCTCGACCATATAGCTCTTCCCTCTCCGGAGAGTGCGGCGGCGGCTGGCAGCCGGAGCAGGAGCAGCGGCAGGAGCAGGAGCGGTGCGGCCGGGAGCGCGGCTCTGCGCGGCGCCCCGCGGGACATCTTCTTCTCCCCTTCGCGCCAGGAAGACCCATTCATTCCCGGAGCCCGCTGCGCGGTTCCGCGCTTGTCCACACTCGGCCGGGCGTGGGACTGGGGCGCTGTCAATGATTAGCCTGAGCTGGGAGGCTTAGGATGGGCCGGGAGGGCCACGTAACTTGAGGGAGGTGGCCCTGTGGTCGTCAACAGCACGGCCGCCCTCCTCAGGGGACAAACGGATGAAAAGGCCTCCGGGACAAGTGTCGCCAAGACGTGCGAGACCAGGGAAGAAAATGGCATTTTGCGTGTGGCCCTTCATGTTGACGCAAATCTTTTGGGCATTAATGAAAAAAGTGTATACCTTTCCTATTTGTAGAGGGTTTTTTTTTTTTTTTTTTTTTTTTTT